AGTGGAATTTAATCTCCCAGATGGGAAGCAAATCAATTTGCCCATCCGCCGCAGCTGAGCCTACTTGAACTCAACTCTAATTTATTCTGTTAAGCTTAGGAAGCCTTGTTGTTTCCAGGTACAGAAATATCAGGTTTCCCAGCCAGTCTGGTCAGGGAGCAGACGTGCCAAGAGGGTCATGCCTGGGGCCTGACCTAAGTGAGCAGTGGTGGTCAGCAGGGGATGTGCCATCGGCCTGTGTTGGAGGAAGCTGGGGCTCTCACCCAGCACTAGGCTCATGGACGGAAAGGTTGTGCTTGGGAATGTGGGATGGCATGACACCAGGTGTGACCCGGTCCTGTCAGGATGAGTAGTGGCCTGCCCCAGGACTCAGAACACGAAGAGACTCCTACCAGCAAGGCAAATTAGATCCCTGCTTACGTGTGTTCTAGGGCTGAGTTCTTCTGCACAGTGATCATCACTCTGATTGGGAGAGTGTTGTTCTGGGACTTTGAAGTTTTGGCCATCCCTAAAGTGCAGTTATAAACCTGAAGCCAAAGTGATCCTTTAACCTGTGACACTGGGACTATTTTGCTCCTCTGTCCAGCAGGGCAGTCAGGGAGCTTCTTTGCTGGGGAACATACATGCCTTCTGGGTGTGGGTCACTGCGGTACGTGGCTGTGGAGTTCACCAACAGAGTAGGGGGGATCCCAGGTGTCCTGTTCTAAATTATCCAAGGGAGCTTTCAGCAGATCTGCAGATAGTTCCAGTTGTTGCATAGGCAAAACAGGCCTAGGAGAGCTCTGGAGGAGAAATTATGCTTTGTGGGAGACAGAGTTCTGGGTGCTTTCTGCTCAAGTTCAGAGGACATTTGCCTGCCCCTCAATTCTGCACTCTGCCAACACAGAGTGCTCTGGAATCATGTTATGTGTATGTGAGTGTGTATGTGTGTGTGGGGGAGGGGTGGAGGTCCCTGGGGGTGGGGTGGTGGTGGTGAGCAGCAAAGTGCTTCTTCTGGAACTCTTCTCTAAGACGCTCTCATTCCCTCAGTTTGACAAAGCAGTGAGCTGGGCTGGTTTCCAGAGGTCAGGGAAAGGCCAATCTATTTACACACCTTTGTGGAGGAGCTCAGAGGGCGGGGATGGGGGCCCGGGGATTAATGAGCACTGTTATTGCCTTGCCTGTCAGGAGGCTTATGTGATGTTGTTTTGATATCAGGGCCCCCAGAAGCAAACACAACAGGCTAGGTTATAGACACTAGAAAAACCAAAGAAAGGTGGCCTCACCCCTTGCCATTGAGCAGTTCCCTTTCTTCTTAGCCAGGAATGGGCTCCAGGACCCCCTCCCCACCCCAGCATTTTCAGGTGGACCTCTCAAAGGTGGCACTGAGACCAGCTCTCAGGATGACATTGGCCAGGGGCACTCAGCAGCAAAAATGATACATCACAGTTGCTAGTGAATAAATTAGTCAAGCCACCCCACAGGACAAGTTGGGGTGAGTGACAGGGTGGTCTGCATGACAAACGATGGGCCAGCCAGGGCGTCCACCTCCTGAGGAAGCCTGGCCATGGACAGCTGTGGAACCAGGGATTGGGAGGGGGAGGACCTCAGGTAAGAAAGGGAAGTTACTGCCCATGTCTGTTTTTTTTTTTTTTTTCTCTGCCTTAGTGTAAGCCAGCTTCTCGGTTAGGGCTAGGTGGAATTAGGACCAAATACACATGACCCTGAATGGGAAGGAGGGATTCTGCCACACAAACAAATCCCTGGATGAACAACTCCAAAAGCTGGGGGTGGGGTCTGGGGAGCAGAGGCCGGGGCTGGAGTGGCTGTAGGGATGGGGGAGTGTAGACCTGAGGTTCCCAACAGAGAGGCTAAGGGAACAACTTATGTTCTACCTTGCCACTTGTCACCCATCGCCTTTCCTTCTTAGCCTAGGAGATTGAGACCTTTCCTGCTAAGTCCTAGGTTGCTACTCCAAGAAGCCCTCCCTGAGCCCTGTGAGCCAGCGAGCCCAGCTACCTGCTCTGAGCTGCTGGCTGTTCAGCTGGTACTTCTCCTGGTCCCCCACTTGCTGGACAGCAGCACTGCCTCGGTTGCCTGTGTAGGAGGCCCCTAATTTGAGACCCCATTCATAGAAAGCACTCAGTAAGTCTGTGCTGACCACTAGCTTAAATACATGTTGCTGTTCATCTGTCATCCAGCAGGATTGGTCCCTGACCCCAGGGCCAGTGAATAAGCAAGAAGCCCTAATTGAAGAACAAAATACTGGGTTGGATACCAAAGCCAAATCCAGTGCCAGGGTGTTGAGAAGAGATTTGGATATAGAGTCAGATAGAGCTGCTTCCAAATCCCAGCTCCTTCCCCAAGGTCATTTCTGTGTGACCTTGGGGAACATATGTCACTTATGCCATCATTTCCTCATTTGTAAACTAGGGATATACTATCTACCTCGTAGGTCACCATGAGAAACAAATGATGTATGCAGAGTACATGTGCGCCACACACACACACACACACACACACAGTAGTTATTCCTGTCAGTTTAGTCCAGTTGGAAGCACAGTGCTGTCAGATCTCAGCTGTCACTTAAAGGGGCCATGGAGGAGCACTGAGCAAACAGTCTCCATTATGCAGGGCAGATTTCAGCTGAGGAGGGCAAGAACTATTCTTCAGGAACAAATGGGAGTGGGTATTGTCTGCCCAGTGCCACTGTCAGGTCACAGGGTTCCCTGGCCCTAAGGCAGAGGTGCAGGTGGGGGCACTTGGGCACAGTGACAGCAATGTGAGGTGGCTTGCTCCCTGCCACTCACTGTGCACCTGCCTCTGACACAGCCCATGATGGGGTAGGGTTAGGTGGGGGGAGTAGCACTTATCTCTCTAGAACAGCTGTTCTCAACCTGTGGGTTGTGACCCACAGGAACTGTATTAAAGGGCTGCAGCAATTAGGAAGGTTGAGAACCACTGCTCTAAAACCTGCAGGATTTTTTTTCCCTCACAAAATTATCTTTACTTGTAAATGTATACTTGTCTTTTGAGTAGAGGCATGTGTTCATTTCAACAGGTTCCTTATAGTTGCACCAATTTGTTTAAAGTAAGGAGCTTCCACACACTCCAGACATGAGGCTGATGTCAGAGAACAATTTTGGATCCCAGTTTTAAAAATGTACTGGGTGGTTTCAGAGCTGATGGGAATCCCAGGCACTTGGTTAGATCTTTCCCTCAGTTTTGTTGAAAAGAATTTCTTCAATGTGCCCACATTGCAGTGGCATGATACACTTTGGATTATTCAAAGTTTAGGAACATTTAGGGGATTATGGTGAATAATTCATGCAAACCCTGACAAATGCAATTTATTCTTTTGTGCAATCACAAGGGCAGAAATCCACCCTTTCTTTAGTTACTTCCCAATCCTTCTAGTGACATCTAGTGGAGAATCTTTGAAAAATAAGCATTTGCTTCTGTGAGGTTCCTCCAAGGTTAAGGAAATTCAATTTACCAAGGAGCTATTTCACCCTCAGTTCCATCTATGTCTATCTGTTTCATTCTCCAAGTTAGGAACACCAGTAAGGCCAAATGGACCCTCTTTTGTTGCTGATCTGAGCATGCTTAGCAGGGCCTCTGTATTGTGGTCAGCAGCTCTGTGCTTGCTTATTAGCTGTGTGATCACCTCTCAGCCTCAGTGCTCTGGGCTATAAAAGCTATCTAATAGGACCTGCCCTATGGGGTTACTAGAAGGACCAAATGAAATGGTGCCCATAAAGGACCAGCAGCTAGCAGGAGCCTCTCTCTTCCCATTACCTTCCCTGTACGCTGCAGGTTCCCCTGGAGAAACAATGCTCCTGGGCGGATGCTGCAGTGTGGCTTCTCCAGGTAAACAGTGTGCTAGTATCTATGAAGTATCACTTTAAGATGCATCTTCTTTAATGCTAAGCTTTTTCTTTCCCTTCCTCTCCTCCCTCTCCTAGCCTCTCTCTGCCTCTCCCTACTCCCATTTTTCAAATTCTAAGAAAGAAATGGAATACATAACCTAGATCCAGCAGAGGTCTTGGAAAAAGAAATTTAGAAGACTTAACAGCATTTGCTTATATTCAGAAGAAATTTGGAAAAATCATCTTTCAGATTTGAGTTACAAGTAGATGGCTTTTCATTGAAAAGCTGGCTGTGTGATGGTTTAGGGCCCTCTGCTTTGTCTTCATAAGCCATAGCTTGGAAAGGAAAAAGGATCCTTTATGGTCACCCATGATGCACAGTGTACTACATATTGCTTCCTGGTTAAAACAGTCTGCTTTAGAAGACTAATTTTTAAAGAGATGGAAGGTGTCTTCTGTGCACTTCAGGGAAATTTAGATTAAGGTGTATGTGCCCTTTGAAGCAAAATGTGTCCCTGTTTTGTATTTTTAGCTACCCTGGCTTGGCTAGAACTTCCTATATAATCTACATCCCTAACACCCTGGGCAGTAAGGGGGCATGTAAGAGTTGGCAGCACATCTCAGGGCCTGATGGTGGCAGCTTGCCCTTGCGAAGCTCTTGGCACCCTTCTGTCAGGGGTTCTGTCCTGAAGGGATGGTTGACCTAACACAACTCTAATAAAGTCTTTTGCAGTTTTACCTAGTAAGTGGCCCAGAGTACCCAGGCCCAGCCATGAGCCAGACTGTCAGGAGGGGACAATGGTAGGAAAGAGCTGGGCTCAGAATCTGAAGCCTTGGGCTCTGGACCAGCCTGCCACTCGCCACCTGCATGGCTTTAGGTACATTCTCATCCTCATCTGTGAAATGGGGATAACACCCCAGCCCAACGGAGTGGGGAGGGGGTGGTCACAAGATTGAAAGGACAGACTTTATGAGAATTCTCTTTACAAACCACTGGGAGAAAGCAGATGGCCCCACCTATCCGCCCAGGCTGCAATGGCTGCTGCGCAGTTCTAGGGCGGGCTGCCTTGTCTCCCACAACTTGTCACTAGAGAAGCCAACTCAGGACCCACAACTCACAGAGATGATAACTTGAAACACGCCAGTCTCAACAACAGTTTAACATTTTACTAAATCAATTCACACAAATTCCAAATTGCAAATATAATTAAGGACAACAACTTCTGCTTTATCTTTTAAATCTTTCATTTTCAAATCCATCAAGACAAAAAGTAAACAAAAATTAGGTCTGTTGCAAATTCATGATTTTTCTTCTGAGAAAACAAAGAACATTAGAGTAAAAAGAACGCCACTGGGTGTACAATAAAGCACCACGACACATGGTTACAAACTGGGGCTTCCTGGCTTCTGTGACAAGTAAAAGACTGTTCTCTCCACTGCTGTGCGTCAATCAGGATTTCATTAAAATAAAACTATAAAATCTCCTAGGTTACACTAAGTCAGACATGGTCTGGAACACAGTGCTTAACAACAGTAATGCCAACTATCAGTGCTAACGTAAAAACATTTTAGAAGGTCAAAAACAATTAAACTGGAAACCAAAACCTTATTTTCCCTAGATGAGCAAAATTGAAAATGAAAGGGTTCCTGCCTCCCAGGAGTGAAGGGGATTTTTTTTTTTTCTTTCCAATTGGAGGCAGGGGACACGCGTGGCCTGGCTCTCTAGTTCTTCAGCCTAGTTGGCATCCAGCTTGGCCATTTCCTGCACGTAGATGCCTATACTCTCACTGTCAAAAAGCACAAAGTACACCGTTTTGATTGAAGAGGACATTGTGGACACAAAGTAGCTGGAGATGGCCTTCAGGATCAGCTGAGCTGCCGTCTGCTTCGGAAAACCATTCCTGCAGGAGAGAAGACAGGCGCTCAGTACCAGGACGCCCACAGTGGCCACCTCTCTCACCATGTGCCTCATATTGGGTCACCGTGTCCACTGAGCCCTGTGGCTGCTTGTACACCAGTGTAAGAAAGCCCAATGTCAAGAGATGGGGGGACAGACAACTGGGTAGAGAGCCGTGGCCCACCCGCTGTGCTTTTTAGAAAAGAAAAGGTATCTGGGAATTTTTCTGAAAGGCAACCAGCAAGCAGATAGGACAGGTGTGTGTAAAGCCCCCAAGTGCAGCATGAACACTTGCATTTCTTTCTTTCTTTTTTTTTTCTAGCTGGGGATTCATTGAGGGTACAAGAAACCAGGTTACACTGATTGCATTTGTTAGGTATAGTCCCTCTTACAATTGTGCCTTGCCCCCAAAAGGTGTGTCACATACCAAGACCCCACCCCTCTCCCTCCTTCCCTCTCTCTGCTCTTCCTTTTCCCTCTGCATTTCTTTTTTTCCCATCATCCCTGCAACTAGCACAGAACTTAAGCCACAACCGGGACTCTCATGCTCCAGTGGGTATTAGCCCCAGAGGATGACTGCAAATTCTGAGGAAGGCACTGACCTCTGTCCTCACATGCAGAAAGGTCATGCCCTTCACACTGGTCTTTAGCTTTCATGGGTACATTCCCTGCCTGGGAATCTACCCTTGCAACATGCACCAGCTTATGCCACACCAAAGGCCAGGGAGTTGAGAGCCGCGGGGATTAGGGAAGAACTCTGGGCATAAGGAGCCCAGTGGTTGGCTCCTTAACTCAGTGATATCAAGTCTCCAAGCCAAATGTGTTGAATTCTTATACATTTCTGTTTAAAGTTAAATGTCATATGGCTGTTTCTGGAAGCAGGGACTCATAACTTAAATAGGAGTCTGAAATCCTGGCCAGGAAGACTGGTACTTGCTGCTGTGTCTGGTGTGAGGCTGCTTAGGCCATACTGCATGTGGTAGCTTGCTGGGCTAGTGGAAATAACCTGGGCAGGGAGCAGGTGGTCCTAGATTTGAATTCCTTACTCTATTACAGCTAAAGATACTGAGGGGTTAGAGTTTGGGGCTGGCTCTCATGGGGGTATCTTTGTTCACTGGCATGTCCAGTTGTCAATCTGCTTGAGCCCATGGAAGATTTTCAAAAGTGTAGGGTGGGAATTTTTTTATAACACTTGAAGCTTCACTCACTGTGTGTCTGTGTGTATTGTACCACCTGGCTGGTCCAATGGAGAGCCACATGCCAGCCACCGTTGTTGGTGCTCAGAGCATCATATCCATAGGAGAAAACCATTCTTGTGACTTACTTTTGATCAAACATGGCTTCACCTAGCTTGATTATGGTGATCAAGTGACTTCTGGGTGTCTTAGGAATGGAGCTCATTCTTACAGGATAAAGGTGTCACTCTAGGCTGTATGCCCAGCCTATGGAGAGTGAGGTGCTACCCAGGGTCCAGGTTCCTTAACATAACAGGCCCACAGCAGGGCAGCCAGCCCACAGAGCATGTTGAGAACACTTCAGAGCCCCAGGGGTATTCTGGCCAGGAGGGTGTTGTCAGAAATGCAGTTTCCCCCCAGGAGACCATGGGGGCTCTAGACCAATAGGTGAACCAGGAGAGAGAGTGGTAGGGACAGGGAGAAAGAAGGCTCTGCTGGAAGTAGGCAGGCTGCTCCCAGGCACCAATGCCATTTGCAGAGCTGAGAACTCAGCCTACAGCTGGCACAGGAGTCAAAGGTCACAGAGAATAGGTTATTTGGAAGACACATGCTAGGAATTGCTTGAGGTGGTAAACTTGATCTTCATTTTTGGGAGGCATCTTCCCAGTGCGTCAGGCTGCTTCAAGCTATGGACTGGGCTCCCAGGCCCTGCTGCAGCCTAAATGGGGGGGGGGGGGCAAAGGAACTCCAAAGGCTTCTGGGGCAAGCAGAGCTCAGTCTATGGAAGTGACTTGGAACAATATGGGTTGAGAAGGGCTGTGAGGAGTAGCTGTCGTCATGTGAAGCCCAAGACCATGCCCCACCAGCTCCCTCCAAAGGAGGGTGCCTGTCTCAGCCTTACCCCCAAACAGGTGAGCTGGGCTGCAGTGAGGACAGTCTGTCATGTGGCCTGTTGGCCACAGCCCAAGTTGTACTGTCTTTACCCTGGGGGCAGGATGTCTGTAGCTGCTCTAATCCTATGATGCAGCTGGTTCGGCCAGGCCACAGCATCCCTGATAATTAGGGATGTCCAGCCTAAACTGAGTGAGATGTGGCCTAATGCAGACTTATATATAGTGCATCGCCCTGGCCTATGCCCTGCTGACTAGGAGGCTCCACAGGGTCTCCCTGGACCACCAAAAGTTTGCCCATCACTCCTGCCTAGGACCAATGCTTTCTGATAGATACCCCACCCCCATGGCTTTCTATGGCTCTGCCTTAGACCTTGAAAAAGGGTGACTGTCAGTGAGGGAACCATGTCCTATAACTCCAGCAGTTCTCAAACTTTGTAGTCTGCATCAGAATCACGGAAGGCTTGTCAAAATACAGATTGCTGGGCTCCACTCAGAGTTTCTGATTCAGTCAGTAGGACTAGAGACCACACTTTGAGAACCTCTCTTATAGATGTAGCCAGCATGGACTTCATAATCTGAGCTGTTGGTGTGGGCCTGAGTAGGGATCAAAGGTTTTAGACCTACAGTGACCACATTATCATACCCTCCCATTAGTACAGAGTGGGCTGTTCTGCCAGAATGTGCCTTGCTGGTGGGTGAGCACGACTCTGGATTTGTTCCCAGAAAAACCCTTTGTTGACAAACCCACCTCTCTGTCCTAGGGAGCTACAGCCTAGAAGGGGGAGGTTCCACCATGGGGCTCTGGCTGCTCTGGACCATGCAGGCTTCCAGGAAGGAATGGTGAAGGTAATGGCTTTATGTTTACAAGTGGTGTCTCAAAATGTTGTCTAGTTGTCAAAGTTAGAATGTCACAAAATGGTGAAAGTAAGCAGATACTCTTGTAAGAGGGCTTTACACACAGTCCTGCACTATGGATGGAAGTGGCTGCAGCACGTGCATGGTCTAAGGTGGGCCAGTCCCAGGCTCTCTGAGGTAGAGAAGCAGAGTGGGTAACAGCTCAGGATTTCCAGGAACCACAAAGGATTTGAGACTTGACTCTTGCTCTGTCCTTAGTTTCTCCACCCAGTGAAATGGGGCAATGATAGCATTGGACAAAATACACTTTAAGCACCAGGTCATGGCACAGAGCTCTCAACCAAGAGTAGCTGTCCATAAAGCGGGTGGCTTAAAGGCTTGTATTGTGGAAAACTGCCTCCCTCGGCCCAGACCTCATGCTACTTTTGACTGGGTGACTGCAGTTGTCATTGCAGTTATACTGTGCTAACAATGTTGGCCTCAAGCCCCAGAGAGCTGCTTTCCAATCTGTAATGCCCAGTCCTCATGGAGGGCTGCTGGCCCATGGTTGTCAGCATGCATAGCAGGAGCCACACCAGTGCTGATGGTTTTCAGGAGCACTGCTTGCCTGCTGGCCATCTCATTCATCTGGCTTCTCGGCTGGGTGGCCTCACTTGCTGGTTGCATAACCATGGCCCCTAGAGATAGCCACTTCTGCCTGGCCCAGTCTCTGTGCCTTCCACCACCATCTGAGGCCTACTGCCTCTGTGACAGTCACTCTGCCTGGCAGCTGCACTGTCTGCCTTTCTGATAAGACCAGAGCCATAGAGCAAGAGGGGTTGAGGGCTTCTGTGTTAGAGTCAGATTTGGGTTTGAATTCCAGCTGTCTTTGGGCTTTAGCTTCTTCCAGGTTGTGCGTGGTGGTGGGGGTGACAGGGTTGCTGCTGTATCAGCCCTCAGGCCCCACACTCTGACAGATGGATGCATGTGTTTCCACTACTGCCCACCCCTTTGGGTTTGTTCATGGCATGTGCCTGATATACCTCTGGGGCCACCTGTTTCCCACCCCATAGGACTGGCATTTTGGCCACTCTTTCCATCTTGGGTTTTCTCTTGAAGTCACTCCAGCAGGACTGTACACCATCTCTGTCTGGGTGAGCCTGCTAGACTGTGGCTGGGGGCACATGTATTAGAGGTTTATCCCACCATCCCCTCTGGATGTGCAGGGGTTCTGGGGTTATAAGGACCATATCCCAGCAGAGGGTGAAGTTCCTCCAGCTCTGCTGAGCCCTCTCATCCCCATTGCTCTCAGGATGGGACAGGCATGCAAGGAATCCAGGCTCTGAGGGCTCATTAGGGGCCCTTGAGATTCACAAAGGGACAGGCTGTATCTAGGGATGAAGAAAGTCCAGGCTGCGAGCTTGTCACTGCTATCTGGGGAGAAGTAAGGGTAGATTACAGGTAGACTCAGTCCACCAGTCTAAAGGTCTTGGCTGCTATGAGGCAGGTGGGGCTGTGTCTTGGAAGCTTGAGTGATGCAGGGAAAACATCAGTGTGTGGATCTTCTGCCAGGCTTGGATCCCTCCCCTTGCCCTGTGTTGCTCCTGGGCCTTTGAGAAATTGCCTGTCTGAAGTTGCTGCAGCCAGAGGCCACTTGATTCAAAAGCTCAGGCCCTCAGGATCCTGAGCTAAGAGCAATGGTGTGCCGACTATGCGGAAGGGGTGCCGAAGGGCTGCTTTCTCCCCTGCAGCAGAGGGGCCAGGGTAGATGGCCGCTGCATTTCTCTGCTGAGGCCATTGTCTAGAGTGTGGGGAGCCTATGTCTCTGGAGGTCAGAGACTTCCAAGGTGGTGTTTTCAAGGTTCCCTGGAATGTTTATGCACACAGAGGGAGCAGAGATCTGTCTGAACAGTGGAGGTAAGGTTCTATGTGCCTAACATAAGCTCTGAAGGCAAGGCCGCTGATCAAGTTCTGGCTCTACCAAGTACAGTAGAACCTCCCCCATACTACCAAGTACAGTAGAACCTCCCCCATAGTATACCAAAGGGACATGCACCACATGGCAGTTCCTTATGTTGACCAGTCCTTTGTCAACTTATAGAGGTTCTACTGTACAAGCTGTGTGGCAGAGGAGTTACTAATGGTGCAGTGTTCTCTCTTAGGGCTTCTGTGAGATAATGCAGAGAAAGGGTTTAGCACAATGCCTGGAGCTCAACAATGGTAGCTTGAAAAAAATAAACTAGCTTTCCTTTTAAGCTCATAAATCTAAGCAAAGTTTAATCAAAGCCCCAAACTAGCTATTCCCTGTGTACTGCCCTCTGGAGAGGGGTCACTCCCTAATGTCAAACAGAGCCGAGAGAGTGAGGGTATCTATAAATACTGTGACGAGACTGGCCAAGGACAGAATGCCCAGATCCTAGGAGTAGTTTTCCAGGGGTAGGGTCACACAGTGAGGGCTCCAGCCGGGCTGATGAGCACCACCATATAGACAGGCTGGTGGACATTCTCCATCCAGCCTACACCACTGGGCTGCAGCTGAGAGAAAGTGATCCTATGGCACTTTACCAACGTTTGCATTTTTATTATTTTAATTCCAACATGACTTTCATGCTGGAGACACTGGATGCCACAAACAAGCTGTTTTATTTCCCCTCCTAAAACCCACTGTGATTTACTGGCCGGCTCTGGTGTAATCCCATTTTTTACTCATGAAAGAGAGGGCAGCTGTTTACACAGCTCTGAGGGGTGAGGTCTGCCTGACAGATGTGCCTGGGTAGCCATGCACATGTGCTGCCTTCGGCATTTCACCCCCTTAAAAGCTTTCAATTGATTATTTTTTTAAACTTTTTCCTCCATGAAAAATGTAAATAAGTTTGTAATAACAGATGCTGTTTTAGAGGAATTACTTTTATGCTTCAATTAAAAATTTCCCAATAGTCATATGAAAGGGTGTGAAATTATTACCTCCAATAAAGTCTCCTATTGCTTCCCTCTTCGGAAGCACCTTTCATCAGAGTAGATCAAAGTGCATCCGAAGTACTAATTAACTGAGCCTCGGAGCCATCTGTGAGGAAAAGGGCAGTCCTTACAGCCTTGCTTGCTGATAAGGCAGGCCAGGGACAGAGAGGCTGCTTCATTTACAAAAGGTCACACAGCAGAGTGCCAAAGAATAGACCTTTTATAAGAAAGCAGGAGAAACAGGTACTATGGCTACTTAAATTCTGATCCAAAACCACTTTGTGATTGGCCTTGGCATCTAAAAATCTCCATAGCTACAGGAAAAATTGAGCCTGCTGGGTGCATGTTGATCACCAGGTGAAGCCTGCTTACCTTTGTAGGTCCTCTTAGAGCCAACTGATGTTCTATGTATGTTAGCATTCAATGTGCATTTAAACAGTGTTAACTTTTAGAATGGCATTCCACATATGCTCTTTGCCAGAGACTAGAATGAAGTATATCAGCTGAAAATGTCGATGACGCTCTAAAACACCACGGATGTGATCCAGAATCTGTACTGTGGGGATGTGGTAGTTTTAGTAGGCCAGAGAAAACAGCCAGCTTGAACAGGACTGAGGGACCCCACTCATAGCACCCCGGTCCATGACTCCAGACCTGCCCTAAGCTTACTGAATAGGGAGGGCTTGCTGGAGAAATGCGCATTTCTTGATGGAGGTGGACAGCGACAGAGGACAAAGTTCAGGCATAATCAGAGGTCTTTTCCCACAGTCAGGTCTTCTGGTGGGTCCTGCCAGCCACACATGACAGCTTTGGGGTATGGTGACAGTGCCTATCCGTAAGTCCTTTTGCTAGGAAGCCACCATCATTTGAGGTGTGAGACCTTGGCGATGGCAGCATTCAGGGGGCAGAATTACAAGGCCTAAGCTGACAGTGGAAAAACCCATTCTCTATCCTCCTTGTGAGTCTGGAAGGGAAGTACTTTGGAGAGAGCAGCTTTCTATAAATATAAGGCATGGTTCTGAGGACTGTTGTGGGGTCAAGGGCCATCTGTGATGCTGCAGAGTCCTGCCTTCCTTGTGATGGGCAGAAATGCCGGAAAGCTCACGAGTTGGGATGGGAAGCCCTAGGAGTGTCCAAACCAAGCCACCTGTCTGCAGAGAATCTCATCGTGTAGCCCCTTTTGGGCCCCAGATGCTAACAGCTGTAGCCTCTGAAGGCCAGTTTGCCTTTGCTTCAGTGGCTAATCCAGATCCTGAACCTTCTAGAAGTCTCTAACTCTGTCCCTAGGGAGGAACCTGGTGATGAGGTGGGTGGGCAGTGGAGCACAGTCTTGGGGCAGTACCCACAGTACTCTGCCTTCTAAGGGTTCTCTTAATTTCCAGAGCAACACTGAGATAACTCAGATGGTTAACGGCCAAGTCAAACTTGACTGCAGGCCTAATCCCTACAGTGCTGCTCCAATGGACAGGAAACTGCTGGGTTATTACAGGAATTTGGAGGAGCCTGAGGTTGAGACCTACCTGCACCATCAGCTGTCAGAGGACTCTACACCTCTGGTGGTGGTCTTAGGGTCAATTGTGCTACTCCCGAAGACCTTGGTGACTCTACCTGGTGATATTTCAGGGATGGGAAATGGGACAGGGCCTAGCCCTGTCTCATTATTACACCAGTAGGGTCACCTACGGCAGCATGCAGGTTTTGGGGAGATGAAGGATGCCCAAAGAATTCTGTGGTCTGGGATAAAACTGTAACACAGTTATAGGCTTATTCTGGGGTGGCCATGTTCTTCATCAGTATTTTTGCATCCTCAACATATTCTCTACCCATCTAAGTCTTAATGCTCTTCAAAATGCATTGAGGGATCATCTGTGGTCCCAGGACATCACTTTCTGGGATGACATCTGTCACAACTGATGTTTTATATCGGCCTTGGGCCTCACTGTCTCTTGCACCGCCCTTTACCATTGTTTAATGTTTGTATTCTTCCTTATGGCTGAGGCCATTGCTTGTAGGCAGCCATAGGTAGCCTTACAGAGTGATAGCTCCACAATTATGATCCATGTACATAAACAGCCATGACGAACACGATGATAAGTGCATGCCCTTACCTGCCACTGCCAATGGATGGAAATGCGATGGATTTCAGCTTCTTATCATCGGCCAGGGCCAAACAATTTTTCACTGTCTTTTCCAGAAGTTCCTCACACTTGTCCGCACCCCAGACTGGGCTATTACAGTGGATCACAAACTTGGCGGGCAGGCCATGGCCAGCACTGACAGCAGCTGGAGGGAACAAGACAGAACAGCTCCATTCCTCAGCAAAGCACATGTCACAAAAGGCCAAACACACCCACACCTGCTACAGCACACCTTCCTGGGCCTGTGTCCAAGGAGGAACACAGCTTCCTGCTGTGCTATGATTCAAATGTAACCTTATGTGGAAACTGTTCCTTATCCAGGGGGACAGCCAGGCCAAACGTCAATGAAACTTTAACCAGGACTGTAGTGAGCTCTCTTTCTGCCCTCAAGAAGCAGGCAAGGTGACCCCAGAGGCAGAGCCTTACCACATAATGTGACTGAATATGTCAGAATGTTTATGGCATCACAGTTATTGCCTTTTTGGGGTCTCCAACCCCCTTTCCTCAAGTGGATTTGTGCACAAATAACAATGAAGTTATCTCCGACTCTCCCAGATGCAATTCAGGATGAACCTATTAGGGAAAGCAACCCCTTTAAGTGAGCACCTAAGCAGGCTGGCCAGCCATCTTCTCCCTGCAAGGATGGTCTCACTGTGTGGCTGATACTGTTTACCATGGCAGAAAGACTCTGGTTCTTTAGGGTAAAACTCTTCCCTTTTCCAGCTATGTGCTGCCACAGAGGATCTGCCTTTCCTTTTTCAAATATGACATCATGGCTCAGATTTGCCACATACCAGGGAATGGATGCACATGCCCCACATTTCCCAGAGCAGGTTCCAGAATCCCTGTCCGTAAGATGCTCTGCAGTGAAGAAGGTTCTGGACTGCAGGTTTAGTGGGTGCTGCATGCTGTACTTCTCCACAGAAGCACATTCAAGTTGCCACACCACTGCTGCAGTAAGACACACAAACCTTTTTGTTTGGCAGAGTATTTCTGAAATTCACTTTTTAAGGAACATGTATCAACACTGTCCCAGTGATATGGGCTGTTAAATTAGTGTCACTAGTAGATGTTGGAGGAGGAGTAACTCATGGATCATGTTTTGGATATGGTAGAAGTAGCTCTGAACCAAGAGTCACAGGATCTGAGCTGGGGCTCTGCTTAGTGACTGTTTGAGAACTCTAGGCTGAAGCAGTGATCGATAGAAACCCAAGATTAGAGACCCTTTTGTAGTTCATAAGCATGATGATTGGGTTTTCACGCTCATGTGTGAAACCTTGTTATGACATTGGCACACTGCCTGACATGGAAAAGAAACCTGAGACTGGGGAGTTGAATCCATTGGTTTGTCCATGAGAAGTTATTACTAAACTATGTGTGGAAAAAGACTGGAAAGAAATGTGTTAACAGTGATTATCTGTGGGCAGGAGAACAGGGGTATGTTTTACTCTACACTTTTAAATATCTTAGAACATTTTCTAAAATAGTTCTTAAGAAAAAAACATGTTATTAAAACAAGCAAAAATGTTAAATTTAATGGGTTGCATTAGTTGTGGCTCAGGTTCCCCAAACAGAGTTTGGTGGGACCAGACCACCTCCCATGTGGCTCCATGCTGAGGGTCACCAAGGGGCTGAGGCTGGGGCACTGATGGGAAAAAACCTGTGGGCTGGTCAAACAGGTGCTGGGGAAAGGCCTGCTATATTGGCTGGGTAGTCAATGCAGTGTGTGTGTGTGCCCTCTTTATACGCCCTCTTTATACAATGTGGGAGAACTTATTAGTGCCCTGCCTGTCATGCCCTTGCAGGAAAAACTGAAGTGGAGAATGGAGGTCAAAGACAGGTCAGCAAAGGGAACTGCTACTGGGCTGAGGCTCATGTCTACCTCCCACTAATCAATCAGTGGTAATTACTGATATACACATGTAGTTAAGACTTATTTTTAAAAGAGAAACAGGATTTGAAAGACAGAATGGGGACCAGGGACCATGTAGTAGGAAGAGAAAACCAGAGCTCCAAGTGAGGGGGGTTGGGCTCCTCCTACTGCTCAGACTCCCCAGTCCTCACTGCTTGCAGCAGCAAGAAGTACCCTAACTCCAGATCTGAGCAATAATTCTCCTCACATTAGACTCCAAGTTGTAGTCTTCTACTCAAACCAGAAAAGGTGTAATTGGCAAATGAGAAATGTATAGTTTTATGTTTCCCATTAAAAACGCAGATGGCTGAAGATTTTTAATTTGCATTGCTCACCAGCAGTTTTGCAGGTGGTTTAGTATCACTGTAATTCTCAGCTCTTAGATTTGTTAAACTCAGTTTATGTAATTCCTTAAAATCTGAGGTCTAGACATCAAAATAAAGTAATAAAATCACAAAGGTGATTTTCATGACTCTTGAGCGCCCCTGACATGTTATAAAACCCTAAGTCATACTACAGGCATCCCCGTGCCTCTATCTTGGGGATGCATATGCACTGCTCTCCAACTCTGAATTCTAAACTGTCCCATGGAATGGTTTCCCTAATCCTGCACCGCCATACCCATATAAGCACAGTGGCTTCCCCACCTCACCTCCAGCTACTTCCAAGGGCCCATTTTTTTTCCGGAGTTCCAGAACAGCTTCCACAAACTCCTTGCCACCTTTCTTCTCCAGCGTGTTTCCTAGACAAGACAGGGAGCAGTCAGATTGCCATTCTGCATCTCTAGCACACAGACACTTAGCATGTCAGGTGATTACATATGATCTGACCAGCTAAATTTCCATAAGGCTGCAAAATAGGAACTAGGCCCTGGCTGAGTCAGTAGAGTGAGATTTAGAAGGGCCATTGTCCACCCCAGCACCGCTGCTTCACCTGTCTTCACTGCCCCTCCTTTGGCTCTGGCTCAGGGTGACCCTGGATGTGCCAGAGATGTGAAGAAGACAGGAGACACCTGTTCTTTGCAAACACAGCTGTCTTGCATGCTTTTTGTTGGCGTGAGAAACCAGCTGGTACTTGCTTCCAAGGCGAATTGCCTGCCCTGGGTTTTCTTCTCTGGGGAGAACCCCCAAATAAGGAGGTTTTAGAAGAAGCATACCATGCTCCCTCCTGAAGCCAGCTCTCTCCTCTTGGCAGCAGGCCCAGAAGAAGTGTCTGTATTTGGCCCCCTTTGGACCAGTACTATTACCATGCTTAGTTCCTATTTTGCAGCTTTGGGGTCATATGCAAATAGAAAAAAATGGCCTCAGACAGTTTTGTCTTAAGAATACTAATGATTCAGAATCATTTTAGGTAAAGGAGGGCAACATCAGAAACAGAGCTTAAAGATTAACTTGTAGTCTATAAAAACTTGGGAAGAAAGATGTCTAACTGCCCAGGATCAGATCTTTAAAAAATCCAATGGCAGGCAAAGCACTGTGTTTTCCCAAATTAGGGTACTTGCCAAGTGATCGATTCCTGCTACGCAAGCCAAGCTCCCAAACAAGATCACCAGCACCTATAAGGATTTTTGGTTAAATCTCATGTGGGATAGCAAGCATGTGTGATAGTATCATCCTAATGTGGCCAAAATAGGGTCTGATTCTTCCTTAAGCTCTGATTCTTCAGTTTTGTACATTTTAAAGTACTTTTCCTCACAACAAAATAAAATACTCCCCTTAAGATTCACCATTTGTCTTGGAAAATTCAAGATGCACCTAGCACAATTCTGATCAGGATAGTCAGGGTGTATTAGAATGCACTAGCCCAAATTCTCTTTGGATTCACCCTGTAACGACTAGGACTGATTAAAACCTGCCTCATTCACAGGTCTGTTTTGCAGGGGTGAACTAACCCCAGGAAGTGTCTGGAAGGAAAAGTAAACAGCCTGGGCATTGTCCCAAATAAGAGATAACCAGGGCTAAAGGCAGGGACTGGGCCTGTAACCACCCATTTCAGGAAGGCTTGGGTATGTGAATCAATGTGATGAGCAGCCTGTCTCACAGGGGGATCCTGGGCTGTCTGCAAGCCAGGCTTTCAAAGTAATACAAACTTAGAATCCCTGAGGTGGGACCCTGTGTCACTCCACAAGCTCAGACTGCCCTCTGCCTTTTACCTGTAGCACAAACTATAAATGGCAGAGGATGCAGAGTTTCACTTTTAGCAACATTCACCTGTTGCCATTGCATGTTTCTGAGAGAGACGGCAGCTGAGTGAGCCAAGTACTAGAGAGAGCAGGCTTGGAGTCTTGGAGCCCAACTCCCCCACCAAAAAATGGATACAACCCAGTGAGGGAGGCCACAGTAGAGATTCGCCTGAAATATCTATGCAGCTGAGAAAAAGGAATCTGGATTCTGAATCAGCTAGATTCTATACACTTCCACCCCTACAGCCCTGGTCTAGCCTTTCCTCTAAACCCATTCTCAAGTTTCAGGGGGAGAAACAAACATGCCAGAGGCTGGACTAGTTATTCAGGTTCTCATCCTTTGTCAAATTAACTCCTTGATGAGAACTTGGAAATTTGGAAGGTAAAATAAAAATACTGTATTAATTAAGACTACAAACTCCTTTCTAAAATATTAAATATTTAAGAAAATGGGCTGATTTATAATAAAAGGTGTTTTATCTTAGGAAGAGTGTTTAGTTTAAAATTTTTTACTTTTAATTAAATGTTCCTTTAATTAGAAGTGAAACTTGCAAGTTAAAAATACACTTAATGCATTTCCCAAACTTAAAAACTGAACCCTAGATTGCAGGCAATCAACCCAGTCAGGACTTGACTCCTACACACACATATGTATGCACATGTTCATGTAGACACACGTGTACTTTTTAACAAGAAACAGGCCCATTTTCAACCATATTGTCAACACTCTTAATGTAAGACTCTTGCTTTTCAGGCTTAACTTCAGGGTTAATCATAAAGCAATTGGCTTACTTGCCCCCCAGCATAAACATGTGTTACTCCCATGAGAACAAGAACATTATTTCATGCTTAGAAAGCAGGCATAAGTATCAGTGTTCAAAACAGCCTAAGCGAAAATTTAGGCTTGGACAAATGTCAGGCTAAGCCTGTGGTCTATTTCACTGTTAGAAAGAACTTTTGATGGGTAAAAGTTAATCACTGGGGCTAAGCATTCCTGCACTCGGATTCCTTCTTCCAGCAGTCTCAGGACTCAGGAATTCACACCAAATATGAGAAATGGAGTGATTACTAGCTTCCTCTTTTCCCCTCTCTCACATCAAAGTGGGAGCTGGAATCAATTGAGCCCATGTAGGAAACTGGTTTATCATTGTTTGCAATTGTAAAAGACATCTGGGGTCAGTACTGGTTTGGACTGGTCCACTGGGCAGAAAAGCACTGAGGGGCTTCGGAAGACTGAGTTCTGGACTGGCACAGTCTCTGCTCCTTGGCCAGTTGTGGTGTCTGGACCTGCTGAGATTTTTTTCCCAGCTGTGATAGGATCAGTAAGTGATGTGTGGTGTTGGCCAAGCTCTGGGGCCCAGGCTCCTTACTCAGCATGGAGGCTAATAACCCCTGCCATATAGCTTGTGGCAAGCAGGGCAGAAGAAAAGCATTAGCACCACCCTTATTCCAACAGCAACAGTACCATTCACCATTCAGGTGGGACTGGGCTCTGCTGGGTAGCACAGCTGTTTCTGCAGGCTACCCCCTGGTTGCAGCTCTGCCTCACAGCCTCCAGCTCTACAGCCTGGTGTGTCTAATTTTGCTGAGCAGGAGAACTTTCAAGGGCTTAGGCAGGTGGGCCAACTTCCTTCTCTCCTCTGACCTGGGAGAGATACTTCTGCCCAGGAAGTTTCATAATTTTCATTTCGCCAAATATCCTGGATGGCAGGATGGACCCAGGCCTTAGTTACTCCCAGCTAATAAAAAGACGAGCCGTTAGCTCTTCTTTATTTTTTCTCTAAATGAGAATTTCCCTCCCAGCCAGTTTTCATTTGGTTAAAAAGGGAAGCATCTTTCTCTTAAGCTGCCTGACTTAGGAGCTCTTAAACTCCTCCAAATTCTTGTGAAAGGGGAGTTTATTTTAATTGCCTACAGCCTGATTTCATTTTGGCCCAGCAGACTTGGCGAACCCTGACTTTCCATCCAGTTTGTCTTTCCATCCATGTCCAAAATCCAAAATGCCCAGGAGGGTAATTAGTACAAATCACAGTGGCTAGGGAGGACTGAGCAGCAGTCTTTGTTGGTGATGCTAACCAGGTACAGACTGTGAGCTATCACACATCCAGTGTCTAGGCCCCTTGTGAAAATCCTAATCCCTCATCCTACAAGATGAATTCATGGTATGCTTACTGGGAATGTAACCATCACATCTCCTGTGAAAATGGCATATACACATGAGAATGAGACCATACAGTAGGCACCAAACATGAGTTGGGCCTCTCAAAATAAGGTGCTTTGCTCACATTTTATGTAACTATCATTTTATAGATAGGAACACCAAGGCATTGAGGAATTAAGTGACTTGCCCAGGACCCATAGCCAGTAAATGGTAAGGCTAGAATTCAAGTTCTCCTACCTAGCTCCAAAGCTCTTCTTTCTTCTAAGACACATAGGTGTCTCCCCACTGGATAAGGAGGTGTACTCAGTGTACTCTTAGAGCAGAACATGTCTGATACTCATGCTGCAAAGCCACAGCCTTGGCCACTCAGCACATCAGGGCTCAATCACCAGTGCCTTGGCAGCTGCCAGGGGAGAGCATGGTGCCTTTTGGGTCTAGGATAGTGTTACTCAAGAGTGGCCTAAGGACACCACATCAGAATGAGGTGATTTTCATGCACCTCGGGCTGAGAACCCTGAGTGTGGGAGAGCATCTGCAAAGGGTTCCCATGTGTACCTGAGGCTTTAAGGCCATTTTCAGGAACAAGTGTGCTTCTGACAGGAGACAGATGTGTATGTATATGGGGAGACCTATGTGAAAGCATTTGTGTCTGTTCTTCAGAGGACACAAAAGTGGTTTTGGGTGCCACTCGGCCCACCTGACTATCATCCCTGCAGCTGAAGGCACCTGTGAGCCCAGTCTTCAACGAAGCTGTGCCTTATGAAGCAAGAAGTGAAGAAATGATGCTACTGAACCAGTTTCCAAACCAGAAGTTCCCATCTGTGAGCTGCATAGCACAGCCTGCCTGACAGCTAGCTTTATTTCTTGGGTTTACAACCCAGGGACAGGAGACCTCGGGAAGGTCAGGACAGCTGGAAGTGTGAAATGAATGCAGCCCTGCATAGCTGTCAAAGGATCAAGCTGTCTGCGGCGGCCGACTGACCATGCACACACACACTCGGCAGCACCCGGCTAGGCATTACCTACTTCACCACCGATGTAGAAGTCAGTGTTTGTCGGGTGAACGACAGCATCACTGTCGATCGAGGCAATGTCAGCCTGTACAACTTGCAACTATAACAGGTAAACAAATGTATATCAACTGTGTTGGACCGAGACCCACGCACAGGCACATTTACTAATGCCCCAATGGCAGGGCTGGCCTACCTGGTCGATTCCAACATATGAGCCAAAGGGGCAACCAGTCCACGCAGTGTGCGCACATGTGGATGGGGGTGAGGACCGGAGGAGGAGGAGGAGGAGGAGGAGGAATATCAAATGTGACATGTTTAAATTAAACATTTGAATGACAAGTCCAAAAAAAGAAAAACACACATGAGATCATTTCCAAAGGTTAAAAGAAATAACAAAACGAATGCCCCGTTTCACTTTGCAAAAGCCTATAAATCTGGCATCCCACTGAGAAGGCTACTAAAACATGGCATCTGTTTAAAAAAAAAAAAGTGGACGATCAGGCCAACCAAAACAACAAGTTTCTCCATTTTTTCTGCAGCAACTTGTAGGCTTTGATTTTTATACTTGTGACATTCACCATTTGGTCTGCCTTCAAGAGATATCTCTTGAAAACCCAGAAAACAGTATACAGATATACGTAGAAGATTGCTTTCATCATTCCCATTAATGTGTGGAAATATTTTTCCAGGCCTATTTCTTACCCTAGTCAATCTTAAATTTTTATGTTTTTTAATACAAAATGTACTTTGGATAGCACCCTTGTTTTTTCTAGCTTATAGCCTTTTTTTTTTTTAAAGAGTGTTATCTATACAAGGCAAGTGACATGCTCAAGTAGGACATTCTTGAGTCCCAGTCCCCTTGTCTTCAGCCCACTGTTGTCAGTTTGTGTGGGACAGACCTGGGCTCTGGAATGAGCATCTCTTACGATAAATCTGCCATCTTTCAAAATCAGCCTAAATTGGGTGCTAAAGGCACACAAAGTATGCTGTGGTCAGATAAGGGAAAAGGCTGCTTTGGTGGGTACCTGCATAGCCTATTTCCCCTGGCAAGGCTCTATACCTAAGAGAACAGGAACCTTTATCATACCCTGGGGTGACAGTTCCTCATATGCAAAGATAAAGCCAGAGAGGTAGGACCCTTGAGGGGTACCTCTCAGTTTGCCCTGAACTATCCTACCCTCCTCAGCAGGCAGACACCATGGCTCTGGGACAATTTTCCTCCTTAAGAACTTGAGTAGACAGTGATATTGCCCTTCTGTTTAATATCATCTGCTAGCCAAATAATTCATGAAAGTGGCCATATACTGTTTTCAGTTCTAGAAAAAGTTGAAGCAGGGACATTAGAGATAAATCTGGGGACACCAAATTGCTTATGCAATAAAGACAACTTAATGGCATACTGAGGTGACTCATTTTCCTTTTTATGCTTTGAGTGTCATTTCTAATTAAGGCTTAAATGGAGAAACTATCATTTTGTAGTTACCTGAGATTTTTTCTGTTCTAAAAAATAACCAACAAAAACAAAAACAAAACACGTGTTTAAAAATCCCCCCCAAGTAACCAGCAGTCAGTTTGATCATTATGGAAGAGAATTTAGATGGCAATATATTTGTAATTGAGGAGAAAAAGTAGCCAATCACGCTTGGTGAAACCTACCCGGCCATTGCCATGTGGAACGGCTTAGAGTAAATAGATATGCAATGCTACACTCAATCTTAGGTTTGGGAATTTGGTTTGCCCATTCTAAAGTTTAAGACGAAAAGCCTAAATTCTGGGTTCCATAACTTTTCATCTGACAGCTGGTGATGCCGAACCCCATCCCCAATTACCTAGGTCATCTTTAAGGTCAATGTCAGCATTGGTAGGATTGATTATGGCCTCCACCTCAAAGCCGGCTAAATTACTGATTTCACTGTGAATAAGGTTCAGCTGAAAAGAAAAGCATGGGGTGGGAAATAACAGGAGAGCCGGGAAATCTCAGAGAAAGGAGCCTTGGGATACAGGTGAAGGGCAGTGGACACTCCAAGTGCACTGGGCACAAAGAGAGAGAGGGAGTTGCTGGCTATAATGCATCCACTTCAAACGTAAGTCTCAATGCTGCCCAGGATGCCAGAAGGAAGCAAACCAGGCTCAATGTACAGAACCAGTGAATGGTGCGTGGGGCAAAAAGGAAGTACAGCCATAGTGTGCTGGAAGTGGGTGGGGGGTAGTAATCAGTTTTCCTTTAGGAAAAGGAAACTGTGATCTGGGGCACAGAGTGAAGCAGCTGTCAGGACCCAGAGTCAGAGTACTCACTGATGTGGAAGGGAGTTTGCATATGTGACTGTCCTCATCTCTGAGTGTCAGGGTGAAATAGAAGTCCTACCTGACTTGGGTAAACCCCTAAGGTAGCTCTGCCACTGTCCTCCAAGTGACTATAGGTATTTAAGGCTGTCCTTATCATCATGACTTCCGGCTGGCTCCCCTGCCCTGTTCAGGGGTTTCTAGGAGCAAGAATAGTCTAAGTTACATGGCCATTAATCATGTAATGAAGTTCTAGTGAAACCCAGGGAAATTAAAACAGTTCTCTAGCAAGACAATGTATCTTTTAAACGGTTTTCACATTGTTGGCCAGAGATCCAACAGGTGACTTATCCAGAATTTTCCCTGAGTTTTATGTGTATCCACCAACTTGGTCTTTCTGAAAAGCCACGGAAATGTCCTCCCTCCCCACTGTTACTCTGTTGCCATGGCAACCATGAGTATCTGACTGTGAGAGAAATCCTGAACTCTAGATTCTGCCGTCAGAAGGGCAAAATTACTTGCCCTAGGACTGCTGTTCTGGATCCTACTCTCCCTCTCCTTTTCTCTAGGTACCAGTGCCTGCAGTAAAGCTTGCTCTCACATGCATGCACTGCTCACTCCAAGGAGGTGCTCATTTTTCGGTGACATGAATTCTTAACAGTGGCAGCAAACTGCAATGCCTAAGTAGCCCCCAGAGGAGCTGGTGCCCAAGGCCAACTATGATCTAGGTCAGGTAAGTGGCTGTGGCCCATAGGGCCCAGCAAGGCAGGAGCCTTTTTCTAGGAACTCATTTGGGATAGTGCTGTGCTCAGACACTTGGCAGAGAAGTGCCTGGCAACTGAGCCCCAAGTCGCTAAATTTCCGGGGCCAAAAATTGTGTTGCAAACAAAACCAAACAAGAAACCTGACACTCTAGAAGTGTCAGAAAGATAAACTCATTTTTGATTCCCAGAAGCTGACAGATTCTGAAAAAGGGACCTGCTTTAGACTAACTGGCATCTATAAGAATCCTTTTATGTTTAAGAACAATATATGTTCAATCCTTAAAATTTATGCTATTTTTTCCCAATTGCATAGATGCTGCTGGTTTTATATTCAGATATGCCTCATTGGAAAATTAACTGTTTTCATGGGCTCTGTGTAATTCAACTAACCAGGAAGACCCCAGGGGCCTAACTCTGACTCTGTCCTGGGGAACACTGCCTCCTGTGTCTTGGGGAATGGAACTACCTGGGGAAACTGGCCTTCTTGAAGTGAGGGAGCACTTGCAAAGAGAACTGAAGTTCCCTGAAAAGTTCTGAGGGACTCACTGCCTTTCCTTCTGACCAGAGGCAGCACTCCCCCACCCCACTTGGAAGCACAGACTAGGCTACCCCAGGGAGCCACTAGTACTCAGCATTGAGAATTTCCAGCCAACCAAGTGCCATTTCACTCTGGATGAGGGTAGAATTACGGTTTTCCAACTATGTTCTGCTGTGTGCCCAGGGCTCAGTAGAAGTCCTCAGGGTATGGGGCTGAGCCACAAAATAGCTTTGCTGCTATAAAGTATGTACAAATGTATATTTTTAAAGAGTCTTCTAAACAGGGATATATTGGTGGGGGTAACAGGGAAGGGAGAAGACAAATTACTTCAGGCACTTTGGAAAGACAAATGGGTGAGCCACTTGGCTTGGGAAGGCTGGGCCAGTAGGCAGTAGCCAACAGTGAGATGACCATGAACAAGACGACACAAGCCTGCCCATGAACACAGCATTCAAATGCACATGTATTCCAAATATATGCACATGTCTAGAAAGGATCTTGCTGCCCAGTCAGTCCCGTGAATAGGCATGGGTGGGCCAAGACAGATGCCCGGGCCAAGGAGGTCCCAGGGTCCCTTCCCACTAGCCAGGATCAAATTCAACTGGGCTGCTTAACCAAAGGGGCACATGACCAACATCTGAGGCACATGGAGAGGGTGGTAACTTGTAGGCTGGGAAATCAGAGTTCAGGGAAACTGAAAATTCCCAAGATTAATGTGATTTGCCAGGAGAGATGAGGATTGTTGATAGTTTCAGACTTTGAATAAGGTGATTATTTGTCTCATAATTGGGAAAGATGAAAAACTAAGTTTTATACCATAGCACAGGGAACTTAAAGCAGCTGTGAAGCTGTCACTGGAGAAAGTGACCACAGGTACTGCTGTTACAAAGCAGGTGGGAGGGGTCCCTCTTAGCCCTGGAGTTGGGAGAAAAAACTTGGCCATGTGACATTCCAAGATTCCTTCCACTGCTAGGGGATCTGATGCTCCTAATCTTGGCTGGCTCTGCAGGAGCTAATCTCATATCCACTGTACCCAAGTCTCCCCTATTGTGGTTATATCCACATGAGCTCTGTGATCTGCTCGTGGTGTGAGCACATTAGAGGATAAGCCCCTTGGAGGCACTGCCTCCTGAGTGCTACACAATGCTTAAGACAGTACCAGGGTTTCTGTGGGCACATCAAGTTGGAACTGAACGTCAAACATCCTCAGACAAAACTGAGATGAAAGAAACCTCCCCACTTCTCCTAAGGCAAAGTTAATGGAAATGCCAAAGCTCAGGAACTGGCCTGGCTTGGATCTTAGAGGGCTCAGAATGAGCCTGACCTCGGCTGGATGAGAGGCCAACACCTGCCACTTAGGACAGGGCAAGAAGTAGTCTGTTGATAGGGAAGAAGCTGGCGGCACGGAGCTTCTAAATAGACATGCAGATTGCATGCAGATCTATAGGCAATATTTCCTGTAGTCTATTTCCTATGGTTACAGGAAATAGGATGATTCATTCTGTTTTTTAATATAATGATTAGAAATTTACTTTGGGGAAACAAAAGTGATTTGTTAAAAACAGCAACTGACATGTTGAATCTAGTCTGTAACTATCAAATTTTGGTTTCTTATTCTCTTTTAGTGAACAAGGAAGGTAGCTCGGCTGGTCTCATTTCCTTGTGGGGCCATGTAAAATACAATTATTCTCCTGTCCATTAAGTCTATTTCAACTAAGGGGGATGGGCAGGGCACTGTCTCCCATTGGATCCCTTTCCAAACACCTCATGAGAACCATGTCTCCCCAGGGCCGGCTCCTGCCCTTGTGTCATAGTGTGAGCTCATTAGAGGATAAGCCCCTTGAAGGCAGAGAGGTGCTGCCCTCCGCCCCGGCCTGGGTTTCTCCAGAGGCCTTAGGCCTGGCACTAAGTGCTAAGAGCACGTGTGGGCACTGCTAGAGGGACAGTAGCTGAGCCACTCTTCACAGCTTCAGCAGTTCCTACACTCTCTCCCCAGCTGTGAGCTGTAGTGGTGGAAAGGGGTGAATGCTCTTTCTCCCCTATTGCTGTCCCAAGTGTTTTCTCTTTCCTTACAGTTTTCCTGCCCCCCCCCCCAGAAGGGTGTACTGATCAGAGAAAGACAATTCATGGTACCTCATATGTCTGCCTTGAATGGCTTGAACACTGAGGTCACAATCCTGATTACTAAGGAGGTACAGAGACCCACTCACACCCTCCAAAGACTGGTTTCCCAAAAGCTTCATATAATCTTGACTGTACCAAGGAAACCTAAATTATTTGCTACCATTGACACAGACTAATACACATTAGAAATGTTTTTTTGAAAAGAAAACCATTAGGTTTTAAAACCCTTGGAAAGAGGCTGCAAATCTTGGTTGAACCACAAAGCAAAAACATTTAGTTGATTCAGATTTACAGCACTGTTTTCTTTTTTTAAAACAATTCAGCAACGTGTGTGAATACTGGGGTAAAATCATAGAGTAATGAGAGTGGTTACTCCTGAGACTTCAGTATGTGAAATACATCATTAACAACAACAATTAGATCCCAGGGTCCTAAGCCCTGGGCCGTTTCCTCCTGTGAGTAGCTTAGCAACCAGGCCTTTGGGCTACAGCAAGCACAATATCACCTTTCTCTACCCCAGCTTGCTTGCAATATTTAAGCATTGCTTTCATTGCCACAGATGGAAAAACAAGATTCACAGCACACAGAGTACACAGAGTCATCATTCTAAAGTACCCCTTTTGAAATATTCCCTAAACTCCAATTTTAAATGTGCTTTGTATAAAAATTTGTATGTGTCAGTTTTATTACTCTGGCCCTTTCTGTACTGTATGGCATGATTTTCACCTGACAATAATAGCCAATAAAGGGCCAGAAAGCAGTGCTCCAAAAGAATGCCCTAAAATACACACAAATGCTCACTCCATCTCATGCTGCAGGGGTGTGGGGTTTCAGAAAGAATAGCTGGCATCCTAGTTCTAACAATGGTGCCCAGGCTGACTTGAGGTGCTGCTTTATTCTTTGAAGCCACATTTGGGAAGGTGAAGCTTACTTTGCTAAAATGCATCTGTCGTGCTAGGTTTGGGGTCACCTCGTCCTGGGCATGTGAACTTTGGTGATAAAGGTGCAAGCATGTTAACATGAAGGGCAGCCTCACAGGAGTGTGGTGTTTTGTTTTCAGCACTCAAGGACTGACATGTGTGATATGGGAAGAAGGCTTGGTGGTCCTTTGGGATCTGCATTCAGCATCCCCTCTTACGGCTACCATTTTGCACTGGGTTCCAGCTCAACCAATCCTCTAGCTTCTCCCTCCAAAAGTCAAGGTATTGAGTAGGCACAGTTTCATGTCAACTCGTTGCTTTCATTCTCTTTCATCTCTTAAGCATCAGATGCTATATCCATAAATTATAGAGTAAGAGGTTTTTTGGACCCTCCTCTCCAAACCCTGAGTGGGGAACAGTCAGGATAAGTTAGGTTTGTAGTTTAATTTTATTCTTATGACAGCTTGACCAGGTGTACCCCAAAACAGAATCACTGAGAACTGATATGTGTCCAGCTCTTCAGAAGAGCCAACAAGGTGTCTGCACCCTGTGCCCACCTCCCTTCCAGGGCTCACATGCACAGAGCCCAGAGGGGGTCTGGTCCTGTTTCTTTTTGAAGAACACAGCAACAGATGTGGACATTTGCACAACCACATTTGCTGCTACTCTAGAAATATTTTAGTTCATCTGGCAAGAGGGGCAGCACTGTGAGGAGTTCTGATTTGAGGCTGGGCAGCAGGAGGCAGCAGGGAAGGAGAGGACAAGGGCAGCTTGGGGAAGAGAGTGAGAGAAGAGACTGAATGTTCTATGTACTCAAAGGCCTCCGTGTCCTGGCTAATGGTCTACAGTTGGGATCTAGAACACACTGGGCCTAGTCTCAAGTAGCAGGGGTTTTCACACTTTAGTTCAAACTGAAGCAATTTGGATGACAGTTCATATTAACTTTTGATATATTGCCCAAAGGACATGTTAAAGGGTATGAAAGTAGACCCGGGTGGTTGCCTTCACTGCTGAGTTGAAATAAACAAATAAAAAATATTTTAAGCAACAACTTTCAAAGTCCCAGACCTTAAGATGACAACTAGTGCTGCTTGTTTTTTTTCTTTTGAAAAAATGCATACGAAATACAGATAATGGTTAAAAATGTAAACAGGAATGGTTATATTCTGGAACACAGAGTAAGTCCACCACAGGAATTGCATCATGAGAGACTGAGTGCAATTAGTGACAGGAAGAGAGGAAGGGGGAGGAGAATTGCCACTCCGTGAGCGAGAGCACTGCGTCGCTGTGATGCCAGAGAAACTGACGGTGAGGGTTTAAAAATGATGCAGCTTCAGAACCAAGTTGTTACCACGTTCAAACTAAATGCAAATTTACATGGAAGGTCAAATTCATTCCTTTAATTTTTTAAAAGTTAAGCAGAGCTTCATTTCCTCTCTTCCCACCCCTTTTTTGGTGTTAATAGAGAAATATTAATTCTCATTCTCAGGTCTTAAAAGCCTTTGCATCATTTTTATTGTTGATAAAAGTGAATTATCTTTTTACAAAACCGTGGTATCTTGGCAAAGTTGCATCACTGGGGCAGCTGAAAATATATTGCCCATGATTAAAACACACAATTGGCTTGAAGACTCTTCTGGTGGTTCAGCGAAGAAACCCCTGTACACCCACCAGAATGCCTGAAAACAGTCCCCTGTGAACCCCTGGATCAGATCTGGGGCTCTACCCTCAGTGCCCACCAGAACAAGCAGGCTGTCTGCTAGACCGTTCACTCTCCACACCAGGGTTTGACTTCTGCCTAGTTTCTGGCTTGTGCTGATGACCAGCTTATCTCACAGGAGTGGCTCCTCCTCTAGGCTGACCCCAAGGGTCCTGATCCCCCCCCACCCAGGAGCCTCTTGCCCTCTTCCTTACCACCTTCTCCCCCCTTCCCCACCCGCCAGAGTCCCCCCTCAGCTCTGTGCTCTGCTCAGCACTCAAGCCCTCCCGAAGGCCACTCCAAGCCCCCTGCCCTCTCTCTCTGCCCACTCAGCTGGGAGTGGCCCTGAGAACCCCCAGGCCTTCTACTGGAGGTGTGCTGTGCCCATCTGTCCCGGGGCCCTGAAGTAGACCGAAGCTGTGCATCCGCCTACCTTCTGGCCAAGGAAGAGGCTCTTAGTGGAAAGCACGGTGAAGCCGTCGGCCGGCGTGCCCTCGGTGGTGCTGTCAGCGCTGGCTGCCTTGCTGGCTTCGCCCTGCTTCTTCTTGCACAGACAGAAGGGTCAGAGTGGGGCTGCACGGCCGGGCAGAAAGCAAGTCTGGGCTTTCTAACCAGAGGCCACATACATAATACCCAAGATAAACGGGAAACTACAACAGCCAGCTCTTAGCATTTTCTCAACATGGGGACTGATTTTAAGGTATAAGAGTTCTGTGAGGTATGTAAAATTGAATACTTTCATCACCTTATAATCTTAAAAAAAGCTACTAAAGTAAAACTTCACTTTACAGTGATTGTTTAGAATAGAATCATTTTCATAAATTCAGACCAAGTAAATGGCTCTTAATTAATGACCTTCAAGTGTCTTTCCTTTCTAGATGTCTTTCACACCATTCAAGCTTAAGAAGAAAAAACTTCTAGGTCACTAGTTCTCGAAAAAGCAGACCAAGGACCATACCCTCCAACCTTCTCCCCTCCCAAGAAGGTGGGACTCACGTCTACACTCCTTCATTTAAACCAGCCCTAAAGAAGGACACATGTGGGGCTATTGTAAACCCACTGGTCCCCCTGGAGTCCCCACAGTGGGCATGGGTCTCAGCCTGCTCTTAGACCTCTTCCTCAGCATGATTCAGGCTGATGTACATGGACTCTGTGGAGTTCCCAGGGGTCTTCCAAGAGGCACGTGCATCAAGAGTTTTAAATTAAGAAATTTCCAGATCTTCAACTTTCTAATATACTTTTTCCTACAACTGATCTGCCCTGAGTGGAATCTAAAGTCTATGGTCGAGGTTCCACCCTCAGGTTCCCTTCATAATTGTGCTTCTCCCACTTCCCGGAGTGAATATCAATCAGTATGGTATACTATCCTGGGAGGAGGGATGCACACTTTTTGCAGATTTCTGTTAAAGACAAAGTGTGTATTAGAAATGGCTATTTTGGCTAATTTGGGGATTTTCCACTTTCAGATATACAGAATGAGGACAGTGGGAACAATGGCACATTTATTTAGACACTTCACCTTTCCTTTTCCCCAAATTATTATCAAAACATATATCACTCTTGAGGGAGGGCCGAGTGGGAGAAAATTAAGAAAGAAGGAGAAATAGTACAAAGGGGTATGCCTTCATGAAGGAAGAATATAAACAATTAACTCAGAAGGGCAAGGCCTGTGCCTTATTCATTCACCTGTTAAAAATTCAAATTCATTAATATATTAACATTCTTATTTACATTAAAAAATAAGGTCTAATTTTGCTGACTGCTTTAACAATAAGGACTGCTTTGGCAATTAGGTAATATGGCTGACATTTGCCGTAAATTAAATGTGCTAAATCTGAAGTTCCAAGGTTTTGATATAACTGAAAAGACAAAGAGCATTTTATCAAAAAAACACAATACTGCTGAAGATACTTTAAAGATACCATGATCTTGATTTTCCTAATACTTTGAGTGAGTCAGCAAATGAGAAACAGGTATAATCAACAATTACATAGTAAATCTTAGTAAAGCCTTTTTTGATGTACTTTCCAGGACCAAGAAAGGGAAAGGCTGGGTAACAAGGCCTTCCACAAATCAGATGTTTTAAATTCTCTGCTTTCATGGGGACAGGACACTATTATTAGAGGGACTTTACCTAGCAAATACAAACAGTGTAACCTGGCTCTTTGTATCTTCAATGATTCCCCAACAATGGAAAAAAAAAATTCTGTGCTTTCAACAAAACTGAAGAAATACCTGATTGAGTTAATAGCTGATCAATGAAAAGCAGACTGATGTAGTTTAGCTAATAGTAATGAACCAGGTTGGTGTTTCAGTTATGGCCCCACGCACCACTGTCACCTGAGATGTTAACAACAGGGAGACTGGGTGAGGCATACTCAAGAACTCTCTGTACTACTTCTGTAACCATTCTCTACATCTAGAGCTAAAGTAAAATGTTGATTAAAACAGTGATGAGAGATTGCTCCATGACTGTTTGCACACATCAGAAAAGGGTTCAGAGGACTGAAGGATGCTGCTGTAACAAAACCCCTTCTATTCCCATTATTTTAGCAAAAAAGACTTTCAAGGAACTTATATCAGCAAGTATATAAAAACAAGATGCTGAACCCTGTTCTCATTTTAATAAATAATGCTCATCTTGAATATTAGAACTGGAGAGGGAAAAAAATCTATTTACACCCATTTCATTACAAGATGCTTTTCCAATAAAAGTTCACTTAATTGTGAAAATTTATAATGCATTGTCAGTCTGATCAATTATGTATTATTAATACATGTGATAACTATCTAATCTTATAAAATCTGTATCATTTAGTGCTTTTATAAGGTCACAAGTTTTTCAAAATAAATTTGTATGCCTTATTTTTGTTGCAGAGATCAACGAAACTTAAGCATAAATGTGTGTCCCATTAGGATGAAAGTTGTGGAACAAATGAAAGGGAAATAAGGGGAAAGGAAATAATGTAAATTTTCTAACTTAAAAAAGCTTGTTTATTTTTTAAATGGATGGTGTATCAAATCATTACAGTATTTAGACTGCATTGATTACACTTACATGAGGAAATAATTTTTAAATGTATTTATAGTATACCAAAAAGGATACCCTCTGCAGCTATTTAAATTAAAAATGAAAAGTTTAGCTATCAAATTTTAAATGTGTATGATACAAAGATTTTAAAAATTCTTTTTAGGAGTTATCCACCCAGAAAGTTTGAAAATCACTGTCATATACTCCCCAGTGCAACACCACACATACAGGTGGTGGTGCTCAGTAGATTCTTGGGAATGGGATAAAGGTTCTCATACCAAGGGAAAGTAGGCAAGGATTTAGCACTTCCTGCTAGGATACCTGTATTTTGAGAGCTGAGAGAGCCCTAGCTGACAGGATTTCAGGCACCTGGGAATTGGTGTTGGTTTTATTGGGAGGAGGGAGGCACTAGAGCTTCCCTGTGCCCCTGATACAAGTCAGCAGCCACCTACACAGCCAGGTTCTAAGGCTTAACCTGTGACAATACTGGTGATTTTGGGCAATGACTCATTAAGGGTGTAGCCCCCCTCCCCCCAACTCTTCCTGCAATGGTCAGCTGTGCAGCCCTCCCATCAGAAGAGGAGCTTCCACCAAGGGAAGTAGTTCATAGTCACAGGGCATAAAAGTGGTACTACACTTGAACTCCGAAATTTTGTATTTGAGTATCTGTATTTTGAGTGCTGCTAGCTGGGAAAACTGCTTACCTTCTCCATGCCTTATTCAGAAAATGAGACTAAGGCTACAGAACTCATTAAATACATTGCTATAGAGAGAAGGCAGCACTGGAGAGAAGGCAGCAAAGTGCTGCACAGAGACAAGCCATTCCTTTCCTGGTTCTCTGCAGCCCATCTGCTTGGCAGGGAACTTCTGCCTCTTCTCTTCGAGATTCCTAGCCCGTGGAACATCAAGGGTGCTTAAAGTCAGCATAGTTGTCTCATAAGATGTTACTGCATTCAGATCATAAATGTGCCTAAATTTTTCATAAGCCTGCTGTCTGAAATTCCGTCCCTCTTTTAACTTTTTGGTATTAAAATGCCCTCTCTTTTATGAAGTAGTAATCTTAGGTGGTAAAATCTTTTCATATTCCAGCTTGGGGAAAAAGAGTTGGCAAGCATTCCTATTTGTCAATCTCCAAAATGATTGAGCTTTCAGAATTTTATACTTTTCTACAAACCCTAAGGTTCCTTTTTGGTGGACAGGCACCCTGCTCTGTTATGAGCAGTAGAAAATCTATTAGGCTGGAGTCAGCTGGAAGACACATTTAAGAATCTTAGATGGCCAGGCATGGTGGCTCACACTTACAATCCTACCACTCTGGAAGGCCAAGGCAGGTGGATAGCTTAAGCTCAGGAGTTTGAAACCAGCCTGAACAAAAGCGAGACCCAGTTTCTAAAATTAGCTGGGCATTGTGGCAGGTGCCTGTAGTAACTAGCACACACACTCAGCTCCTACTCTGGGAGCTGAGACCAGAGCATCACTTGAGCCTAAGAGTTTGAGGTTGCTCTACACCGAGGGCAGCAGAATGACTCTGTCTCAAAAAAAAAAAAAAAAAATCTTATGACTGAGTATCCAAAAAGATTTATGTGAACCCATCAACTCAAGTGTACCTATCCCTAGTCTCTTTTATTCTGGTGGCCGAATTGCCTAAAATAGCATTAAAAGGCCAGAAAAAATTCTGTAAGGGTATCAGCTTCTTAAAAAACCAATTCCTTTCTTTGGTACCCTGTACCAGAACTTTAATCACTGAATTTGCAGTGTAAATATTTACTTCTCATTAAAGAGGCACTCTATTGGAATTATCTTGGGCTTTGACCAGGAGCAAGCCTACCTTCATGATCTGGGAGGGTAGTTTTCACATGGGGATGGAGAGGGATTTGGGTACTGGTATAGGTTTATGTCACAAAAATTCTAGGTGATCTAATACTTCATCCAAATTTTTGGTAAAATCTGTCTTAGAGATCCCTGTAAGATTATCCTGTGATACTAGTAAATGCTCTGATGGAGGTCTTAACCTATTAAAATTAGGCATAATTTCCTTAATCTTAGATATTTCATTTTATACACTTGAAAACTTATCTTGAGAAGAGCCTCTAGCCTTTCCCCTGGCCAAAGGTGGCCATCTTATGAAAACATGAGGGAACCTCACAGACAAGTCCTGTCAAGTTCTCCTGGGAGGAGCCCAGTGGTCCAACCTCAAGGTATGCTTACTATTCCTCTGCCAGCAGCTCTCTGCTCTCACTCCCTTGAATGACTGTCTTACTCTATCAGGTCTCTGCTCAAGTGCCAATTTAGGACCTAACTACCTCTGACATCACACCCCTTATTTTTGCCACAGTGCTGACTCCCTCCTACCTTCTATAATGAACTGCACCCTTCCCTGAGCATCAGGGAGGGCAGGGACTTTGTGTGTTCACTGATGTCATCTCCTATTCTGAGGATAGTAACTAGCACACACACTGGATAAATACTGTGAATTTATTAAAAAATTAATATTCATTCTTTAACTCAGAATTAAATCTTAAAAGGATGAGGCTGCTTTTGAAATTTCTTAATGGGGTTAAAATGCTTTATGAGTTACAGCCATTGAAGTTAAAAATATACTCAACTCTCTGCCACAGCAAGTTCACTTTGAAGACTTTATCCTATAGATTTACTTGCACATGAGCACAGAGATTCACATACAATGGCAGCCACTGGCACTATCAGAATGAATGTTACAATAATCCCTAAGTCCCTTGCTCCACAGGTTCTGCGTATAAGCCACTGCAGCCATCCCATGTGATGTGAAAGCAGCTCCACACACCTGGACAAGGAAGAGCTGCTGAGAGGACGACAGCAACAGCCAGTGTGAATGCTTTCTCTGAACTCTGCAGAGCTGTACAACACCTTGCATATCTTTGTTTTACAGATCAGGAAGCTGAACACCAGGGAATAAACTTGCCAAGGTCATGCAGCTAGAAATGGCAGAACTGGGATACAAAGCCCACTGGCTGACCCCAGAGCTTGCACTCTTAACTATTACACAACACTGACAAAACAGTGCATCACGTGATTTATATGTTAAAAAAAAAAAAAAAGGTAGGATAGGGAGGGATTTATGTCTTTGTATGCTTATGCACAGACTTTCCAAAAGGAGACTTAAACGCTCATTATGGAGACTGCCCTGGGTAAGAGAAATGGGAGACTGTGATGGGAGTAAGATTTCCTTGCTACATCCTCTTTCATACTGTCCAAATTCTTACACATAGCACCTACTTGAAAAGAGTAGGACTGTAATGGACTATCTTTTTATGGGGTGAGGGTAAACCAAGGCACAGAGAGGGAAAGACTTACCTGAGGCCACCCAAGTAGGAAGGAGGAGCCCTGGGACACAGCCAGGGCTCTGATTCCCAGCCCCTGGGGTGGGGTGGGGGAGTGGGTGGGGAGGGCAGTGTTGGATTCTCTAACCATTTCCACTATAGCTGACTCAGCTGTCATAACTGGAGATTTTCAAAACTTTCAAATTACATAGAATTGGGGGGAAAATTATGATTTGGAATTCAAGTATTGACACTTGAAAAATACCAACTCCCTTTCACTACAAGTGCTTTAGCATGTTACTAAGGCTTTCTCTGCAAGTCCCTAGAAAGGTTATTTTCAGAATGTTCCACTGAAATCTGGAGATGCAGGGTTCTCTATGGTTTCTGGGAGCTGACACCACAATTTACATTAAACAAATGTTTTGAAAATTAGCTGTTCACGGTTCCAATTTCAGCTTCCCCCAGGGTTTAATGTTAGCCAAATACTGGTACAGTAAGCAGACAATGTGTTTTATTGTGTGGAAGAAAAACAGACCACCATAACAGACTTCCTGCTTTTGTAATCAAGGGAGAACTAAGTGGTTGGGTGATTATTGGCACATGGTTATTAGAAACACTGTGTTCCAAATATAGCTACTAGGAACTGAAGACACACACATACATACCCTATATTTCAACTCCAAAAAGAGAAAGAATTCGTAGTGTTTGGTAAATTGTAAAGTTTAGAAAGTCACGGGGCACAAACTATGAGGAAAGACTCAGGGAGTAGGGGAACAAGGTTCAGTCCAGGTTTGTCTGCAGACACTCAACAGCATGTGCTTAAGAGAGGTGATGGCCTGGGACATAGTCAGAGCTGGGGCTATGCCTTGGACATGGTCCGGCCCCTGCTGGTTCTCAGCATGAAGTGCCATGGGCCCTGCTCTCTGGGCAGCCAGGTCCCTGGGGCCCATTTTTAAGAGAAGCCAAATCTGGCATCCTTGGTACCTTTGTAACATTTAAAAAGGGTTGCCCAGTCACTATCTTCTACCTTCCTGCCATGTTCCTCCTCCCAACTGCAAATGTTGAAAGAGAAAAAAGAAACAACTCAATCTGCTAATTTTACAGTTAACAGGAATGAGTAAGGAAGCATTCTGTGAAATCCCTGCCTGGCCTCGAGCCTCCTCTAGGACTTGTGAGCTAGGTGGAATGCAAATGTCTGGAAATAACTTAGAAGACACTTTTCACTATCAAGTTTCTCTCTTGAAGAGCTGCGGGTTATTCTGAGCATGGAATGAGTGGCATGTTAGCAAGAATTTATATTTTCTGTACTCAAAGAAACAGCCTCTTCTCTACCAACAGTGCAATGGGAGAAGATGATCAGGGGTCAAAGAAGATGCCCCCATAGGTGGATGATAGCCTGAGGCACAGGCAGGCTCAGAAGAGGGGACATATAGGCAGGATGGGAGGAGCACTGCTCACCTGGCCACAGCTCTTTGAGCCTAACCCAGGAAGTGTCCTCAGTGTCTCATTCAGGGGAGAGGATCCTCATGTAGGGAGAATTTCATAACACTGCTTCATTAGGTCTCACAAGGCATTTCCAAGCACTTATTATCGAGGGTCTTAGAAAACAGGTCGCTTTCTGCCAGAGGTGACTTCCTCCCACTCTGGTTGGAGGCTAGATGGAGGACTTCTGAAGGAGCAACTCAGGCTAGGGCAGCCTCAAGATACCATTTTAATAAAGCCCAAGCTTTGACTGCACTGTTCCATGTTTGTTGGCCCTGGAGGTGTGACAACAACTGACAGGCCAGGGCCCAGTGAGGATGGAATGAAAAATATGTGTTCCAGGTGCCTTGTAGTCTGCTGTTGATGCAGACAGTGGGAACTCCACTCATAGGCCTAGGCCTCCTGAGGGCATCCCCTATACTGTGAGGACTGTGGCTTGGAATGTGCTGGCCTTCGCCATCCAAGACAGCAGCAGATCACACCAATAGCAGGGGCATCCTCACCACAAAAAGATCAGCACCTGGTCCCTGGCCAACCCAAATTCGGCCCAGCAGGAAGCACTTGCATAACACCTCCATCTTTTTCTTTTACAGAGGCATCTATTCTAAAGAGCAAATCGTCCAGACTGTCCCTAGTGAAATGTGGTCAGGGGAGGAAGATATGCAGCCATGGCAACACAATGAGAGTTCTACAACAGTCAAGGCACAGGGGCAGCTGGCCTCTCTGGGCAGAACTAGATTGTAGCTGTCCCCTAGCATGGTGTGTATACCTCCCTGGAAGGCCAGGCACAAGGGTCTTTCCAGCCCGAGGTTATCCATCCCCAACACTCCCTGAAAGCTTGTCATCCATCCCCCTTTCCCACAGGGGTTCTGTCCTCCAACTGTGTCCAGACTGTAGGAGAGACTGTCCTGACTCTGGCCACTTGAGTTGGACTAACCCCTGTGTAATCAGCTCTTCCATGGTCTTCCCCATCTGGGGGAGGAGCCAATGGGGAAGTGGGACCCATGGGGGAAGGGAACCTCTCATTGCCCCATTTATCAGCACCCCACCCTGCCCCATTCCGCATGTCCCTGCCAAATCACGTACCTTGGATTTCCGGGCGCCTTTCTTGCCTCCTGTTTTTTTAGACACGGGTTTCTTCTGAGATGGAGACTTGGCCTTTTTGGCTGGGGGTGGTGTGATGATGGCTTCCAACTTCCCTTTGGATCCTCGTTTCTTCGCTAGCAACTCAGGGTGAATGTTCGGTAACACCCCACCACTGGCTATGGTGACTCCTTTTAGCAGCTTGCAGGAAAACCAAAGTAGCAGATGGTGAGCCAGAGTACCCTGTTCCTGACTGTCAGGAAGTCAGCCCTGCCCATGCACACTCTTGCCTTTGGGTGGTAGTTGCTCCTTCCCATATGGTATGTCAAGGGATGCCAGTGGGACTCAGGCTTGCTATACAGGGATCAAGTCCCAGAGTCCCTCGCCCGGATGGAGTTAGACACTATCTGTTATTCAAAGATAGCCAAATACCTTGTTTCTTCCCACCTCCCCCATTTTCCCAATAAGGCCCCAAGGAAAACCTGCCATGAGAGGTATGGAAGCTACAAATTAACCTAAATGTAGTCTACACCTTTGATAACCAGCCAGTGAAGCCTCTCAGCTCTGTCTCTCGGTAGTATGACCACCTGCTCAAGAGTCTGGAATGGGTGGGAGAGCCTCGTACCTGATTTAGTTCTTCATCATTGGCCACAGCCAGCAGGATATGCCGGGGTGTGACCCGTCCCTTCTTGTTGTCTCTTGCTGCATTGCCAGCCAGCTCCAGAATCTCCGCTGTGGGGAAGGAAAAGAACATCAGAGGATCATGCATGTACCTCTGGACCCCCCATTCACAGTGCCAGGAACAGAGGCAGGTATGTACTTCAATAAGCAGCTACCCCAAGGTGAGAAGCTGTAGGTGAGTCTTCCTAGCAATACTCTGGGCAGAGTCACAGAGGTGCTGAACCATAAAGCTAAGTGGACCTAGGACGCCCCTAGTCCATCCCTTTGTTCTGGACATGAAGGAGCTGAGGCTGGAGAGAGAAGGGTTCAGCTGAAGGCCACTTAGTAAGTGAACAGTAGGGCTGAGATCTATACTCAGTTCTAGCTCCTATTTCTCAGAAAGGGCTACCTGTAGTCAGCCTTCTAGATGTCACCAGGACCAACCTCTTGACTCAACAGCATGGCCTGTACTGTGCCTGCTTCTTGAACGACAGGTCATGGGTTTATAGGGTTTCAAGGAGAGGGTGGCTTGATATTGTGGGAATGTGTTTAATCCTTGCCAAATGAATCAATGTGGAATGCCTGTGCATTTAGATTAAAAAAAAAAAAAATCAAAAGGTATACTGGATTTTTTACAAAGTCAGTGTCAGAAAAACATAAAACATGGTGGGGGTGTGCAGATTTTAAATCCTAAAGAGATACAACCAAATACAACTGTGTCGATCCTTGATGGGATCCTAACTTTTCTGAAAAGGTGTAAGTCATTTTGAACTAGATTATCAGACCCTCAGGAATCATTCACTTTCTAGTGTGATGATGGTGTTACCTTTCAACAGACTCTCAGGAGACACACACTGAAGTATCTAGGAGTAAAGCATCTCGAGGTCTGCAACTTATCCCAAAATATTCTGAAAAGAGCCTGTAGAGCGGTGGTTCTCAATCTGTGGGTCGTGACCCACAGGAACTATATTAAAGGATTGTGGCATTAGGAAGGTCGAGAACCACTGCTATAGAGGGAAGCAAATGAGGCGAAATGTTAACGGTCGTTACATCTAAGTATATGGTATGAATGTTCCTCTTTCTGTCACTTGCAACAACATGGATGAATCCAGAGGACATTATGCTAAGTGAAGTCAGGTACATAGACAAATACGGTGTCATCTCACTTCCACATGGAATCTGAAGATGTCTAACATAGAACCAGAGCAGAATGGCAGTTACCTGGGACTGGGGGAGGGGGAGAAGGAGGGTGATGTTGGTCAAAGGGTAGCAAGTTTCAGGATGAGTATGTTTTGGTAATCAAAAAGAATGGGTAGCTATAGTTAGTAATAAGGTATCTTTCAAAATTGCTATGAGAAGATTTTAAATGTTCTCAACACCAAGAAGTATGTGACGTGATGCATATATTAAATTTGCTCATTCTACAAATACACATATCCAAACACCACAATGTATCCTATAAATATACACAAGTGTTGTCAATTGAAAACAAGTAACAAAAGTAAAAAGAGTAAGAGTGCTCTTTTAGCATTCTGTATGTTTGAAAATTTCAAAATAAAATGTATGAGGAAAAAAAAACCCTAGAAGGCTATGAGTGTGACTAAGTTTAACTGCCTTTTGGGAAAGAGTCTCACAGGACAAGACGACACATCTTCCATGGCAAAAGATGGTGGGAATTAGAAAAAGAGCCCTTTGGCAAGAAAATTTTTTTTCTTCTTGGCAACACAGTTCTCTTGGTAACTTATCAACCTCATGACCACCACCTCATTTTCTTAATGAGGTATACAGACTGTCCCAGACATATGTTATGCTCCCCATTCTGCCCATACTATGTTCTGCCTGTGATGTCCTTCTAGACTCAACCCAACTCTGACCTCCTCTCAGTACTAAAGAATTTCTAATATTTGGTAATATTGTAAACAGTAGATTTCTCCAGCAAAGTCAGCGCTCTGAATCATTACAAAATAATTAGAAACAAAATTCCAGCTGCATGAAAATCATGCATTTAAAATGTACAACATTGTATGGTATACAACGGTTTTCAAGAGCTACCAACAGCTGAGCCCAATGCAAAGAACTGCTGTCTGTATACAAAGCTGAAAAGTTGCTTGGCTACTCATGGAAACTCTCATATGGTGGGGGTGGTGGGGTGGGGAATCAGTCACACTTGAAATAGCAGGTTTCCCTCTAAATATAAGGCAGGAATTCATTTGTTCAATAATCACATTGATGACACACAGCCCTGTGCTTGGCAGGAGAGACACAGGCCCCATGAAGCCTTGCCTTTTCCGTGTTCCCAGGCCAGCAGGGAGGTCACTGCAGGGTTGCACACGTCAGTGCTACAGAGTGTGCCAAAGGGACCCCTACACCTGGGCATCATGCATGTGAAATTGAGGAGGGGAGGAAGGCAAGGTGGTGGTACGTAAAGGGAAATGCCAGTGGAAGGGATCACATTTCCCACTTTCACACATTCATCTCAGCAGGGTTGGCTCCCCCATAGCCTCAGGACAGTCCAGTTTACCAGTGGTGAGGGGAGACAGCCCCCCTAGCAGTTTCTTCCCTATGATCATGGCAGTATGTCCCAATGCCCAGCTGAAATAGGCCCACCTCAGCTAAGCGGAAAAGGTGCTTGTGATGCCTATGTGACCTAAGGCCCCAGATGCCCTGAATGCAGAGACGACTGCCTGACCAGCCCAGCTCAGCCTCTGTTCTGCCACACTGATGGAACAGGTGGCATATTTGCAGTGCTACCATCGTGCCCACAGCCTGAGAGCAAAACAAAGCAGGACTCTGATGCCAACAAGAACACAGAACCTAGAAACAAGGGAGCAGGAAGGAGAGCCAGCCACAGCATCCCCAGGCTGGAACCCCTGCCACAGGAAGACCTTCAAGGGGCATCTGGCACCACAGAGCTGTAGCCCACTTTGTGGACTTCCTGGCTTCTCCCCACCTCCTTCCTGAGGCCACAGAGAAGTGCTGGGCCTTGAGTATCTGCACAGCCAGAATACATACACTGGAGGGCTGGTGGATAACCATCCTATGACCATAATGTGCTAAGAATGCTTCACCTGCCCCTCATTAAAAGCAGAGAGAGGGGGCGGTGCCTGTAGCTCAGTGGGTAGGGCGCCAGCCATATACACCAAGGCTGGTCGGTTGGAACCTGGCCTGGGCCACCTAAAATCAACAATGACAACTGCAACAACAACAACAAAAAAAATAGCCGGGTGTTATGGCAGGTGATGTAGTACCAACTACTTGGGAGGCTGAGGCAAGAGAATCACTAAATCTAAGAGCTTGAGGTTGCTATGAGCTGTGACACCAGGGTACGGTGACATAGTGAGAGTCTGTCTCAAAAAAAAAAAAAAGAGAGAGAGAGAGAGAGGGAGAGACAGAATATGAATGAGAAATGAGAATGCCCACAGTGGTGACCTTTTGTTACCTAAGCTCACCCCTTTGGTAAGACAATCATCTAAAGTACAGTTTCTCAGGAAAGTGGAGGTGGCCTGTTTCCTCTTCCTGCCCAGAGTGGAAGGCCCTCCCCAACAGATGGCGCAGTGGCCGTTGGTGGTGGGGAAGGGAGGGAGAGATGTGGTTTTTTTATTTTCTGCAGTGCTGCCCTAACTTTTTTTGTTCAGGGAAAAGGATCATGAGTGAAAAGACCTGGGAAAAGTGGAGACTCTGAGGGTATGGCTGAGGCCCTATTTGGGTGAAGGCAGGCAGTATGTAAAACAAGAAAGCAATGGAATGACCCAGAAGCATACACAGAGGGCAGAAAGAAAGGGACCTGGAGATCAACCCTTCAAGAGTGGAGGGATATTCTCCCTGGCTTTTGCAAGCTTTGCAAGCTTTTCCCCCCTTATTCTTTTATTTTTCAATGGCCTCAGTTTCCCCACTTGTGAAATTGCTAATTCAACTTTGCTTCAGGGGGTACCAGACTGGCTTCACCTAGAAGTGACAGTGGATCTTAGGTGGATGAGAAGGGACAGTGATGGGAAGCATCTCAGCCTCTTAGAAGAGCTGAGCAGCGGTGTCATTGCACTGTCTTCTTTGCCAAGGAGCCCCAAATCCAAGACTCCTCCTTTTTGCAAAACCCCAGCTCATATTCAATCTGTGCAAACCAAGCTAACTGCCCTCCATAAGCCTATCAACAGAGCTCCCCCCCCCCCCACCGCCGGCCCTGTAAGGAAGAGGGAGCTGTGTCAGGTAGGAGTAACAAAGGAGGTCATAGGTTCACACTCCAGCTAGCTGAGCCAGAGTTTTACCTTTTGTTTACTCTTGCATTTTTTTAGATGATAGTTGTCATAGTAACTCTATCATCATGGGACACACAAGACAGAGGCACACCTCAGAAACACACCTTTTATGAGAAGCATGTTCCCTGCCCCACCCCTGCACTGCATTTTATAATAGCCAAGAAAGATGCAGAATGCCCCTAACTGCTAACAAAAGCAGTAACCAAGAACACTCACGCCTTGCCAAGTTTCAGTAATACCCACCCTTTGAGCCTTAGTCTAGTCTTAGAAACAGCAATCATAAAGAGCCTTCTTGGCTAAGAGAGGGCTGCCTGCTGCAGGAAGAGAGAAAAGGTGCAAAATGCCGGCAAGTGGACAAGATGGGACAGTTCCCATCTGCTCTCCAGGGTGTGTTCCTGTTCAAGGGAAGGAGAGGGAAACTGACTGCTGAAGAATTAGGGCAGGGCACATGTCACCTAGTAAGTGATCCTCTGCTTTGCAAATGCTACAAAATCACAGAGCAGGCGCAGAGCTGTATGATTCTTGCCTGTACCCCCTGGGCCCAACCCCCACCCACAAGGAGAGCTGCCTCCCGAGAGCCAGCTTCAGCCTCTGCCGAGCCTTCCTATAAGGGAAGTACTGTACTCAATTCATTTACTATTTGAAGGAGTTTATACATCTCTAAATTTTTTGCCTGTGGCAGGTCTAAAAGAAACTGGATTCTGAGAAAGAGAACTAGGAAGACACCAGATCTATAGGTGCAAATTCTTTTCACCACAGTTTCCAAAGTTCAACTCTTGGATCTTTCCTTGTAGAGGGAATTTTTAGGAGCTACAGCCC